CTCTGTCTCTGTCTCTGTCTCTGTCTCTGTCTCTGTCTCTGTCTCTGTCTCTGTCTCTGTCTCTGTCTCTGTCTCTGTCTCTGTCTCTGTCTCTGTCTCTGTCTCTGTCTCTGTCTCTGTCTCTGTCTCTGTCTCTGTCTCTGTCTCTGTCTCTGTCTCTGTCTCTGTCTCTGTCTCTGTCTCTGTCTCTGTCTCTGTCTCTGTCTCTGTCTCTGTCTCTGTCTCTGTCTCTGTCTCTGTCTCTGTCTCTGTCTCTGTCTCTGTCTCTGTCTCTGTCTCTGTCTCTGTCTCTGTCTCTGTCTCTGTCTCTGTCTCTGTCTCTGTCTCTGTCTCTGTCTCTGTCTCTGTCTCTGTCTCTGTCTCTGTCTCTGTCTCTGTCTCTGTCTCTGTCTCTGTCTCTGTCTCTGTCTCTGTCTCTGTCTCTGTCTCTGTCTCTGTCTCTGTCTCTGTCTCTGTCTCTGTCTCTGTCTCTGTCTCTGTCTCTGTCTCTGTCTCTGTCTCTGTCTCTGTCTCTGTCTCTGTCTCTGTCTCTGTCTCTGTCTCTGTCTCTGTCTCTGTCTCTGTCTCTGTCTCTGTCTCTGTCTCTGTCTCTGTCTCTGTCTCTGTCTCTGTCTCTGTCTCTGTCTCTGTCTCTGTCTCTGTCTCTGTCTCTGTCTCTGTCTCTGTCTCTGTCTCTGTCTCTGTCTCTGTCTCTGTCTCTGTCTCTGTCTCTGTCTCTGTCTCTGTCTCTGTCTCTGTCTCTGTCTCTGTCTCTGTCTCTGTCTCTGTCTCTGTCTCTGTCTCTGTCTCTGTCTCTGTCTCTGTCTCTGTCTCTGTCTCTGTCTCTGTCTCTGTCTCTGTCTCTGTCTCTGTCTCTGTCTCTGTCTCTGTCTCTGTCTCTGTCTCTGTCTCTGTCTCTGTCTCTGTCTCTGTCTCTGTCTCTGTCTCTGTCTCTGTCTCTGTCTCTGTCTCTGTCTCTGTCTCTGTCTCTGTCTCTGTCTCTGTCTCTGTCTCTGTCTCTGTCTCTGTCTCTGTCTCTGTCTCTGTCTCTGTCTCTGTCTCTGTCTCTGTCTCTGTCTCTGTCTCTGTCTCTGTCTCTGTCTCTGTCTCTGTCTCTGTCTCTGTCTCTGTCTCTGTCTCTGTCTCTGTCTCTGTCTCTGTCTCTGTCTCTGTCTCTGTCTCTGTCTCTGTCTCTGTCTCTGTCTCTGTCTCTGTCTCTGTCTCTGTCTCTGTCTCTGTCTCTGTCTCTGTCTCTGTCTCTGTCTCTGTCTCTGTCTCTGTCTCTGTCTCTGTCTCTGTCTCTGTCTCTGTCTCTGTCTCTGTCTCTGTCTCTGTCTCTGTCTCTGTCTCTGTCTCTGTCTCTGTCTCTGTCTCTGTCTCTGTCTCTGTCTCTGTCTCTGTCTCTGTCTCTGTCTCTGTCTCTGTCTCTGTCTCTGTCTCTGTCTCTGTCTCTGTCTCTGTCTCTGTCTCTGTCTCTGTCTCTGTCTCTGTCTCTGTCTCTGTCTCTGTCTCTGTCTCTGTCTCTGTCTCTGTCTCTGTCTCTGTATTATTATTATTATTATTATTATTATTATTATTATTATTATTATTATTATTATTATTATTATCATTATCATTATCATCATCATCATCATCACCATCAGTATTATCATTATTATTGTCATTATTATCATTATTATCATTATTTTTTATTATTATTATTATTATTATTATTATTATTTTCATTAATATCATCATTATCATTATTATTATTTTCATTACTATCATCATTATCATTATTATTTTCATTACTATCATCATTATCATTATTACCATTATCATTATTGTTACTATCATTTTCATTATTATTATTATTATTATTATTATCATTATTATTATTATTATTATTATTATTATTATTATTATTATTATTATTATTATTATTATTATTATTATTATTATTATTATTATTATTATCATTTCCACTGCTAAATAAATGTCTCATGGCACTGTTACTGCCGCTCTTTCCCGCCGCCGCCACAGCCACGTGCGATGTAATTCAGCTGTTTTCCAAAAGGACGCCTCCACTCCCATTGTTAGGAATCGGACTCGGGTTGACGAATCTGATTTTATTTTTTAATTCTATCAAATGATTATTCATTGTTTTACTGATACTCCAATAGAAAACAGCACTAAACAAAAGTAGTTCCCTAAAACCATCTTAAAATTACAGGTCAAACGGCAGCAAAGTGGAATTCAGTTGAAAATGCGCTGGCCCTCAGCGCCTCACACCATACCTTTTCCCTCGTCTATCGAAGGTCACACTTCTTTAAAGGTTTTGAAAATACCACTTTTCATTAATTGCTATTAATTGCATTCAGAAGGATAAAGTTTGAACCTTCATATTCCATAAACAATAAGTAAAATGACTATGTAGAACTTAATATAATTTTCGTACTATTCTTTTGACCAAACACATTCTGTAAACAAAACATGAAACTGCTTGATATGCCTGTGTATGTGTGTATGTGTGTATATGTGTGTGTATGTGTGTATATGTGTGTATATATGTGTGTACGTGTGTGTACGTGTGTGTATGTGTGTGTATGTGTGTATGTGTGTATAATGTAGTCAAGCATTTAGGGCAATAATATACTCATTAACATCGTCATCAAATTTGAACTTCCCATTTTCTTCCTGCTTCAAGCCGGCAGAGGGCCCACGCACGGCCGCCCGCGGGAATGGGGATATTATTATCAGTATCATTATCAATATTGTTATCGCTATTATTATTATTATTATTATTATTATTATTATTATTATTATTATTATTATTGTTGTTGTTGTTGTTGTTGTTGTTGTTATTATTGTCATTATTATCGTTGTTAGTATTATTACCATTATTATTATTATAAACATAATTTTCATTATCATTATTATCATTATACTCATTCATTACATTCATTATAGCATTATTATCATTATTATTATCATAACCATCCTTATTACTATTTCTGTAATCATTATCATTAATCTTTATAAACATTATTATTAATCTTTATAACCATTATCTTTATTGTTATTATCAATAGGTAGACGTAACGTGGCTGCCGTCCAGTTGGCTGTCGACAATGAGCGGCGCGTGCGAGTCTAGTTTACAGTCTGTGAATATGAGTTGGTGATGTCATACTTGTTGCTAGCCTTTCCGGCGACCAGTGATCCTATGTGCCTGACTACAACTTATTGTCATAATAATGTAAATTTTAAGTAAACACTCAGCCTCACCTGTAACCAATCTTGATATTCTTTCGTAGATATAAAAATCTTGCAAATATACCATCTATTGAATATAGCAACAATGGTAAACAGGGGAACCTTACCCATGTCAGTTGGCGTTGAGGACATCTCCCAGAGCCCTAAGGCCAATAGCATAACAATTAGCAAGGAGTATTTCCCATGGACCAAAAAAGGACACACGAAGTATAGTGCTATCATAAACACGCCAACTGAAATGAGCCCATGCATGATGTTAGAGGTACATGTTAGTGATATGTCTGATAAGGTTTGAGAGGATGTTTTGAAAAAATAGTAATTGTAAAGAAATGTAGGGTATGATGTTTTTGTGATAAAATGTAGTGTTTATTAGTTTATGCTGTGACTAATGTCGCTCTCTTTTTGCAGGTGTGCTGTCCGTGACGGAACAGTGGAAGAGTCAGAGCATCCATCTCCAGTACAAGCGGCCCTGACCGATCCTACTATCAGCCAGTTGAGACAACTTACCTGTGCTTTGTGCCATGATTCTCCTTCAAGACAATATCAGTCACTTGGGACTCTCGAATGCGGGGCCACGGTTTGACCGAAAAACATTCTTAACTAAACTTTATCACTAGAGAGTGAAGTTCTGATTAAACTCACCCATTCTAGTGACTGCATCCTCTAAAACTACATTCCGGTGGTATGATCTAATAAACTAGTAAAATTTATTAAAATTTAATAAAAACGTCTTTACTTGCCTTAATGTCGACGTTGCACCAAGGCAATGAGGAGAAAAACCAAACCACAAAGCAAAGTGACTATTTTGTATTACCTCATATCTCTTGGCAACCGTGTACCTGGCACCAGGCCAGGCTCCAGGACAAAGACAACAACATAAACTTCATGTGAAAATAAGTGTCTAGTCTTGTGTTTGTCTACTCAAGTTAAAGCTTATGAATTTCAACGTGGAAAGGGGAATTGGGAAAAAAGCTATTGTGTGTTGAAAGAATACAGAAGAAAGGGAAGATTTACAGAAGACAATACTGGTGAAAACGTGCAAATATGTTATTCTATCTTAATGTATAACATGCTACAAATATTCAAAACCTTATTTCATTGTGCTATCTTTGTGTACCATTCTCAAAAGAATATTGCTTTGTAAGATTTTGATTCATATTGTGATCCTCTAAGAGAAAAAAAGTGCTTTAACTTTATGGGATGGATAAGCATGAGATGTATATCAAAATTTTCTTGAAGACGACGAGATAGTCATCACGTAGACTTTGAAAAACTGAAAATTATTAGAAACGTTCACTGGTAAAAATGCATATGTGAATAAACCGGAGTCGACGATTATTGCATTATTAATTTGTATTTTTCACTAAACAGTATGTTATATATGAACGAAAAATGAGTTACAACTTTTGGAGCCATATTTTGGATCAATGGATGTCAACATATGAATCAATATTGTAGTAACAGATATCAATATTCCTTATATTACAAAGCAACGTTCTAATACTTATTAGATCATTACTCTATAAACCAGTTATATATTAGCAGAGGAATTTATGAAATGAAATTCGTTTATTTGCATTTCTAATGTGTGACTTTATGTTTATGTGTTTATGATACAGTTAAGTGCATTTAGTAAGACAAAACACCAAACCAAGCAATCGGCAAGCTAACTAGAGAGGTTAACGGAATTTCACCGAAAAAAAAATGTAAACTCCCTTTAACAGATTAATTTTAAATTTTCTAACTCACCTTTATTAGTGTTATTGTTGATGAACCAGCGTGTGGAGTAGTCCCACCCAGACTCAGCACCTGACTTGAGTTCCACATACAGCTGCTCCTTGGCTTCCTCGGACCTGAGATTATGGGCCAGCTCATAGTCCTCTCTGGCCAAAGAACAAATTTATTTTAGTCATACCTCTACTTCCCGCTTTCATTGGCTGGCATAGAAAACTGGTATATGGAATAAGGGTGACATTAATATATCAGACCCGTAGTAATGTGATCAATTTATGTAATTTAGTCCCTTCTATCAGTTTCAAGCCAGACGTGGTTGAGATACATCGAAATCCAACTTTTTCCACGCTCTCTTTGCCTTTTTACCTAAACAGCACCCATTCCAAAATGCTGCAAAACCTTCGAAGGGAAAATGCCTGACCCTGACCTGTACGACTCCGGCCGGGGCTCGCCGACCTCAGCCCTGTACTGCGCGACCTTGTACGTCCTGCCTGACCTTCCCTGGACCTCCACCGATCGCTCGTTTTCCCAGAACTCGAATTCCTCCACCAGCTGGTCGATGTGCGTCCTGCAGAGCGAAAACGCCATGAACATTTTTTTTAGTGTTAGGGCGTGAATAAGAATATACTGTAATGTTTACATAACCAATTAGTTATTCTTAGTTATTAGTTATTAGTACATAAAATTGTCATTGAATATAAAAAAATGATCATCTTGATAATCTCATATGGGAAATAATACTTGAATTTATTCTCTCTCTCTCTCTCTCTCTCTCTCTCTCTCTCTCTCTCTCTCTCTCTCTCTCTCTATCTATATATATATATATATATATATATATATATATATATATATATCTCCATCTCCATCTCCATCTCCATCTCCATCTCCATCTCCATCTCCATCTCCATCTCCATCTCCATCTCCATCTCTATCTCTATCTCTATCTCTATCTCTATCTCTCTCTATCTCTATCTCTCTCTCTCTCTCTTCCCTCTCTCTCTCTCTATTCCCTCGCTCTCACTCTCTTCCCTCTCTCTCGCTCTCACTCTCTTCCCCCTCTCTCTCTCTTTCCTCTCTTCCCTCTCTCTCTCTCTCTTTCCTCTCTTCCCTCTCTCTCTCTCTCTCTTTCCTCTCTTCCCTCTCTCTCTCTCTCTTTCCTCTCTCTCTCTCTCTCTTTCCTCTCTTCCCTCTCTCTCTCTCTCTCTTTCCTCTCTTCCCTCTCTCTCTCTCTTTCCTCTTTTCCCTCTCTCTCTCTTTCCTCTCTTCCCTCTCTCTCTTTCTTTCCTCTCTTCCCTCTCTCTCTTTCTTTCCTCTCTTCCCTCTCTCTCTCTCTTCTCTCTCTCTCTCTTTCCTCTCTCCCTCTCTCGCTCTTTCCTCTCTCCCTCTTCCCTCTCTTTCTCTTCCCTCTCTTTCTCTTCCCTCTCTCTCTTTTCCCTCTCTCTCTCTTCCCTCTCTCTCTCTTCCATCTCTCTCTCTTCCCTCTCTCTCTCTCTTCCCTCCCCCTCTTTCTCTTCCCTCCCTCTCTCTCTCTTCCCTCCTTCTCTCTCTCTCCCCTCCCTCTCTCTCTTCCCTCCCTCTCTCTCTCTTCCTCACACACGCACGCACACACACACACACACACACACACACACACACACACACACACACACACACACACACACACACACACACACACACACACACACACACACACACAGCCCCTACCTGAGGAACTCGAGATCGTTCGTCTGGTCCATGTAGAGCTTAACCATAGGGATGAGGTAGGGCGGCTGGCTCCGGCGAGTGTAGTAGACGCGGCCGCCGTTGGGCACCATGCCATAGGCGCTCACCATCTGGATGAAGTTATCCAGCATCCCCTTGACCGTCTCCTCCATCCCCGTCAGCAGGAGGCCGTCGATGGTCCAGTACGAATCCCAGTAGTAGAATTCTCTGATGGGAGAGACTGGCGGTTGGTGAACTGAAGAGGAGAGGACGGGAAGGGAGAAAGAGCAAAAGGCGAAAGGAGAGAAAGAGAGGTGAGCTCGTCCAGACTGAATGTGAATCTTAGAGTCAGTACAAGTAGAAAATCAGCAATTGCTCAACAAGAAATTTTGAACCTATGAATAAGCAACACCAAATTTAGTTTAGCCACTTCACTGAAAGGTTTGTCCCCGGGCATTAGAGTGATTGTGAATAAGGATGTATTACGGACTTGTAAATCCCAGGTGATTACCCCAACCGTCTCTTTTTGTGGACCAAAACATACTCTGTAACGATTTCCAATAAGGCTGCAGTGAAGCTTTACGCGGTACACGGTCAACTTTCCCTTCTTCATCATGCGCCCCTTGCCGTGCGTCCCCGACCGAGAGCCGCCGGACTCACCTGAACCTCCCACCAGGTACAATGACAGGATTCGGGACGAAGATCTGCGAGTATTTTTCCGGGTTCCTTTCGACGTCGTCTGAAATCTTGCGGCCGAGGTCCTTCCAGAGCTCGTTCAGCTTCCTTCCCCATTTCTCCAGGTCTGGGTCCACCACCTTGTCCAGGAACTCGGGGCTGGAGGGAGAGAAGAGGAGGGCGATTAGTGTGAATGCAGGCGAGGTCACGGCAGGCGCCCTCCGATGAACTTTCCTCCACTCATTGAAATGCCTTCACTCTGATCCACAAAGACATGCATACATAGATAGATAGCTAGATATGTGCGTGTGTGTGTGTGTTGCATGACGTATGATGTTATATTCTCTTACAAGTAAAGGAGCGGCCGCCAGCCAGCGGTGAGGGTAAGAACGCATAAAAATGAGAAGCAAAACTTGACACTCAAGAGAAGAAAAATACCTAGACCCTCGGGCAAGATTTCGAGTGGAAAATATGTTTCAAACGATTAAAAATGCAGCAATAACAAAGGGATTAAAGGGTTGTAACACGGGGGGAGGGGGGGGGGCGATGGCCCGAACGCAGCTTCGGGATTTAAAAGATAAACAGGGAAGTCGATAATGAGCGGAGTTGCAAATTGGGGGAAAGTTTGGAGCCTGTTCGACGCCCCCCCCCCTCCACACACACCCTCTCTTTCTTCTCTCTCTTCTCTTCTCTTCTCTTCTCTTCTCTTCTTTCTCTTCTCTTCTTTATCTTCTCTTCTTTCTCTTCTCGTCTCTCTCTTTTCTCTCTCTCTTCTCTTCTATCTCTCTTCTCTTTTCTTCTCTCTCTCTTCTCTTCTCTCTCTCTTCTCTCTCTTCTCTTCGCTCTCTCTTCTCTTCTCTCTCTCTTCTCTCTCTTCCCTTCGCTCTCTCTTCTCTCTCTCTTCTCTTCTATCTCTCTTCTATCTCTTCTCTTTTCTTCTCTCTCTCTTCCCTCTCTCTTCTCTCTCTTCTCTTCTCTCTCTCTTCTCTCTCTTCTCTTCGCTCTCTCTTCTCTCTCTCTCTCTTCTCTTCTCACTCTCTTCTCTTATCTCTCTCTCTTCTCTTCTCTTTTCTTCTCTCTCTCTTCTCTTCTCTCTTTCTTCTCCTCTCTTCTCTCTCTTCTCTTCGTTCTCTCTTCTCTCTCTCTCTCTTCTCTTCGTTCTCTCTTCTCTCTCTCTCTCTTCTCTTCTCTTTTCTTCTCTCTCTCTTCTCTTCTCTCTTTCTTCTCCTCTCTTCTCTCTCTCTCTCTCTCTCTCTCTCTCTCTCTCTCTCTCTCTCTCTCTCTCTCTTCTCTTCTCTTCTCTTCTCTTCTCTTCTCTTCTCTTCTCTGTCTCTTCTCTCTCTTCTCTTCGCTCTCTCTTCTCTCTCTCTTCTCTTCTCTTCTCTCTCTCTTCTCTTCTCTCTCTCTTCTCTTCTCTCTCTCTCTCTCTTCTCTTCTCTCTCTCTCTTCTCTTCTCTCTCTCTCTTCTCTTCTCTTCTCTCTCTCTCTCTCTCTTCTCTTCTCTTCTCTTCTCTTCTCTTCTCTTCTCTTCTCTTCTCTTCTCTTCTCTTCTCTTCTCTCTCTCTCTCTTCTCTTCTCTCTCTCTTCTCTTCTCTCTCTCTTCTCTTCACTCTCCCTTCTCTCTCTCTCTTCCCATCTCTCTATCTTCTTCCAATTCTCTCTCTTCTCTCTTCTCTCTCCTTCTCTCTCTTCTCTTCTCTTCTCTTCTCTCTCTTCTCTTCTCTTCTCCTCTCTCTCTCTTCTCTGTCTTCTCTCTCTGCTCTCTCTTCTCTCTCTCTCCCTTCTCTTCTCTTCTCTTCTATCTCTTCTCTTCTCTCTCTCACTCTCTCTCTTTCTTTTCTTCTCATCTCTTTTCTCTTCTCTTTTCTTTTCTTTTCTTTTCTTTTCTTTTCTTCTCTTCACTTTTTTTCTTTTCTTTTCTTTTCTTTTACTTCCCTTCTCTTCTCTTTTCTTTTCTTTTCTTTTACTTCTCTTCTCTTCTTTTCTCTTCTCTTCTCTTTTCTTTTCTTTTCTTTTCTTCTATTCTCTTTTCTTCTATTCTCTTTTCTTCTCTTCCCTTTTCTTCTCTTCTCTTCTCTTTTTCTCCTCTCTCTTTCTCTTCTCTCTTTCTCTTCCCTCTCTCTCTTCTCTCTCTGTCTCTGCCTCTCTCTCTGCCTCAGTCTCTCTCTCTCTCCCTCTCCCTCTCCCTCTCCATCTCCTTCTCCTTCTCCTTCTCCTTCTTCTTCTCCTTCTCCCTCTCCCTCTCCCTCTCCCTCTCCCTCTCCTTCTCCTTCTCCTTCTCCTTCTCCCTCTCCCTCTCCCTCTCCCTCTCCTTCTCCTTCTCCTTATTCTATTTCTACTTCTACTTCTTCTCCTTCTCCCTCTCCCTCTCCCTCACCCTCTCCCTCTTCCTCTCCCTCTCCCTCTCCCTCTCCTTCTCCTTCTCCTTCTCCTTCTCCTTCTCCCTCTCCCTCATCTACTTCTACTTCTACTTCTACTTCTCCATCTCCTTCTCCATCTCCTTCTCCTTCTCCCTCTCCCTCTCTCTTTCCCATTTTCACCTCTCACACTCACTAAAATATTTTCAAAAGTGAGCGATGATTCCCATAAAGGTTTTGAAATTGACTCGAGACTTTTTTTTCCCCGATGGCTGAGGGCAAAGCTGATAAATATATTCCGCTTACGCTAGCTGCGCGAGAAGATAGGAGCAATTTCGTACCATTTTTCCAGCATAAACATAGGGACAACATTAGAGTCAGAAAGACTATTTTTCAAATAAGTGTACGTCTCTCATAATGATATGGAGTAATTGGAGTGTTTGGCGAAGCTGTTTAGAGGTTTATCCCAAAGGCACTGAAGTGTTTGCACGTTGAAATTGCTTGACTTATTTTTTCCCGCTGAAGCTAAGGTTTTCTAATGTGCCTCTCATACTGCTTACTTATTTCTACACATTCATATCTTCTGTTGTTCCTGCCAAATGTTTTAGGTTTTCCTGTTGTTTCTTCCTTTTGTTCAAACATTTTTTTTTCGTCCGTTATCGTCGCCAGCTTCCTTCAATCTACGTTCCATATTGTGTTTCCTCCTCCTGTCATTCTACGCACTGTTATTCTGTTTTACTCCATTATCATATTTCATGGCGTTCCCCGTCCCCTCGTAATGAATGGCATGTCACACTTCCATCCCAAGGTCTCCTTTGTGCTTCACTTAAAAATCATACCTCCTCGTAAACATATTTGTTTTGAAGGATAGCCACAATGCTACTTGGCCTTGTGTGTGTGTGTGTGTGTGTGTGTGTGTGTGTGTGTGTGTGTGTGTGTGTGTGTGTGTGTGTGTGTGTGTGTGTGTGTGTGTTGTGTGTGTGTGTGTGTATGTGTGTGTGTATGTGTGTGTGTATGTGTGTGTGTATGTGTGTGTGTATGTGTGTGTGTATGTGTGTGTGTATGTGTGTGTGTCTGTGTGTCTGTGTGTGTCTGTGTGTGTCTGTGTGTGTCTGTGTGTGTCTGTGTGTGTCTGTATGTGTCTGTGTGTCTGTGCGTGTGTGTGCGTGCGTGCGTGTAGTAACAATGAGTCCATATGTATCACCGCGAAATGTTTTTCTGTTTTGGTGGGCCATGACTCCGGCGAAATCTAACCTGTAGAGAATTCATTTCGTCATCTCATGTCCCCTTCAAAACAAAGGTATTCTCTCTTGCATCGACTTTTGCATCGTCTGGTTATTTCTTTTCTTAATGACTTTCGATAGTTTGTCATTATAATTTACAATGCTGCTTTCATAATATGCTCAGAATTGTATGATAATATTAGCATCATTATAAAGTTTGTTATCAGTGTCTTATTATTATCATCAATAGAAATTGGGACAAAATAATACTTTATGAATACATTTATTCCCCTGCTCAGGATATCAAGCCACTCCTTTTATGCCATTTTCTTTTCTCCTTTCGAAGGAAACAAACCAGCGAAACGGCAAACAGCAGACGTCCCGGTCCCTCCAAGGTCCCTCCGACGGCGGCCGCAAGCCTCAAAAAAGGTGAGCATTCCGCCCGTCCGCCGCGGCACGTCTGCCGCCGTCGGTTCGTGTCCATCTGGTCGCCGCAGCCTCCCCCCCCTCGCCCCTCCTCATCTCACCCCTCCCTAACCCCCTCCTCGTCCCACGCCCTCCCCTCGGCCCTTCCGCCCAGACACGTCACGTCGTATTCTGGTGGACATTAACCAGGCGACGCCGCAGTGCAACCGGGATTTAACGACAAACTTGGTATGGCCACAGACTAGGTCTCTGGACCGCCTGAAGCGGCTTCGTTAATTGTAATTTCTTATTGCTCTCTTGTTTTCTCTCTTCTATTGTCTTTTTATTGATGATAATGTTTCACTAAAGATTTAGGGGAATATCTTTGTTAATGTCTTTTTTCCAATGTTTTATAATTGCGTGTTTGACATTTTCCGTTGCACAAATCTGATCGTGCTTCCTCAATAAAGCATAAATGCTTCAGCTGCTTGTCCTTCACAATGTCAAGGGATTGCCAATATCCTTACACGGTCTTTCCAAAATCCTATTTCGCCGCAGGCAAGCGTTCCTTCTCGGCGAGGGGCGCGTGGGAGGAGCCTCTCCCGGCGCAGAGGGGAGCCCTGCGGGGCCTGCGTCGCGGGTCAGACGAAGCGAAGGCATGTCTCTACAGCAGGAGAGGAAATGCACGAGGCCAAGAGTTGTTCTGGGCTTAACGTCTCACGGCAGAATTCATCTTCACAGAATCATCACAGCGGCTGTCCCATACCACGGCCACCGCCTCCAGCATCGCCAGGAGAGCTAATGCTTCTAATCGCTCTCCGCCTAGCATCTCCAACAAGCTTGTCACACGCTTTGCTTTAGGTGTTCGAGCTATTGTCTATGTTTTCATGTTTTCCTGATCCAACGGAAATTGCTTGTAGTACAGAGAGAAAAATTATCAACGAGACAATGATGCTAAATTATCTTCACGTCAGATCAAAAGCCTTGTCGGGAAATGTGTCTCTCTTTTCCTCTCTTGTCTTCCCATCCCCCGTCTACGTCTCCTTTGCCTCAACCTGCGTTTTTTCCCGCGCGGTTTGACGCTGAATGCGATTTTCCACCGATGCCTCGCGATGAATTGTGTTACCAGGGCTACAGTAACATAATTTTGAGCTATTTCTTTTTTTATTCGATG